TGCAGATTCCTCTTCTTTGGGGTGTGGAGGTGCCCAGATGAGGCCCAGCTGTGAGCAGTGCAAGCTGCTGTGGGGCCTTGGGCCTTCTTTTGGAAGTTCTGGGTCACTCTGACCCAGCTGCAGTTTGTTATGTAATTTTAGATTGCAAAGGGCCAGGCCATTCATATACAAAAGCCTCTGCACACAGTTCAGGTGGGGCGGGGTCTCAGGGAATCAACTGGGTGGAGCAAGCAGCTATGGCTGATCCTCAGCCCTACCCTAAGAGGCCCTGGGTCTCAGTGTCCCTTGGTAATTGCTACAAGCACCTCTGAGAGAAAGTCGCCCTTGAGTTTTGCCCAATGCTAGACAGTCCAGTTTTTCCCTGTATGAGTCTGGGTCCCCAGAGACTCACCCAGAACTGGAATTCAGAGCAGTTGGGAGCTTGTGTCTCCCTCCCAATTGAAAAAGACAACCGTGTCTTCAGTTGCCAGTCCTTTCCGAGTGCGCCTCCGTACCTCTGCACTTTACTTCCACACCTCCTCTGAGTCTCAGTGTGCTTTTCTCTTTCCTTCTAGTTGTAGAATTTCCACTCAGCCAGCCTTCCTGTGATTCTGGATGATGTCTGTTTTGTCTTTTAGTTGTATTTTTTTTTAAATATATATATTCTTTTTTTGCCTTTTTAATATATTTTATTGATTTTTTTTTTAAAGAGAGGAAAGGAGAGGGATAGAGAGTCAGAAACATTGATGAGAGAGAAACATTGATCAGCTGCCTCCTGCACACTCCCTACTGGGTATGTGCCCGCAACCAAGGTACATTCCCTTGACAGGAATCGAATCTGGAACCCCTGAGTCTGCAGGCTGATGCTCTATCAACTTAGCCAAACCGGTCAGGGCTTAGTTGTATTTTTGAAGTGGTTGTGCGAGGCAGCAATTTCAGGTGTTTACCTATGCAGCCATTTTGGCTTCTCTCTGTAATACAGCTTTTTAATCCATTCATCTGCTGATGGGCACTTAGGCTGTTTCCAAATCTTAGCTATTGTAAATTGTGCTGCTATGAATATAGGGGTGCATATATCCTTTCTGATTGATGTTTCTTCTTCCTTGGGATATACTCCTAGAAGTGGGATCACTAGGTCAAATGGGAGTTCCATTTTTAACTTTTAAAGGAAATTCTATACTGTTTTCCAGAATGGCTGCTCCAGTCTGCATTCCCACCAGCAGGGCAGGACTTGGAGACCTGGGGAAACCAGGTACTTTGTGGACCTCCTTTTTCTCCCCATCCTACCCCAACAC